AATGGGGGCTATGGCCTGCTGCCACTTGCCCCCTTCTGTCCAGAGCGAGCCGCGCTCGAATCCTGCCCCCCTCCCCACCCCAGCTGGGCAAGCAGCAGCGGGGCATAGCCTCCACTCCTAGTGTTGCTGTGCCCGCTTCTCGCATCCTGCACACCCCCTCCAGCCCCCTCCCTGAGTCCTGTGCCCCCCACCCCAGCTGGGCAGCTTTTCCCAGCCCCAGGCCCAATCCCTCCCTCACGCCTCTTCCCTGCCCCCTCTGCCCACCACAACAGACTTACCGGCTGAAGGCAGCTGTGTCCAGCATAGTGAGGACTGCTGCCTGTTTAGTCTATGGCCAAATCTCTGAAGTGGCACCGAATCTTTGGATCTGATTCAGCCGAATCGAATCAGGACAGTGATTTGAATCTCTGAATCAAATCACTGTCCCTCTGAATCAGCGGAATCCAAATCCGAAGCAAGTACTTGCCGCTTCACACAGGCCTATTATCAACCAAGCTAGCTACAAGGCTTTTTACCACTATGCCTCCTTTTCCCTGCATCAAGTCCTTGTATCTACTGCTTTTGGTATTATATTTTCTCCTTGTCCACTTCTCAGCTGAGTCTTTTAAAACTCAGAGACTTTAGGCAAACACATTGCTGAAACAGAAGAAAGAACCGTGACATTAAAGTAAATTGTTAGGCATGTAAGCATCAGCCTAAATTAAAGGCATAATATCAAGGAGTTCAAAGTTAAAATGTGACTTATAATTGCTTGTAGTATCCACTTCTTTGTATACCAATAAAATTAAACAATACTGTTGTGACCTTTCTTGGATGAATTTCAAAGCACTATTCCTATTGCAGCACCTAGACACTGGTGTGGTAAAGGAACTCATGTATTGCAGGGGACCATGATAAGGACCTAGCTACTGCGATATAATAGGAACACTGGAGGACTACTATTGCTGGGGGAGGGACATAAAGAGGAAAGAAGGAAGAAACCAGATATAGGTGTCAAGGCTCTGAGGTGCCTAGGACCTCAGTGCCTTGTAATTCACCTCTGACCCACAGAGGTGATATGATCATGGCCTACATTCTGATTGCTCTGTGTAAAAACTGGACTAATGGGACAACTAGGCATTCAGCTTCGTATACAAAGAAATATTCCTAAGGAGTGTAAAGCTAGCATGGCTGCCTGATTTCTGCCCTCTGCTCCGCTGCCCAGGAAGCATGTCAGGGAAAGAAGGATGTGTGGCCATAATGTACTATGTAATCCTAGGCCAGTGAAAGGCTCTCAGGGACTATTTTGGCTTGGGCAAGTTAGAGCAGCCTAATGACTGCTAAACTGTGTGTCAGCAGCCAAAACAGCCTCTAACAGTTCCCAAACCATCTCTGCTCCTCTCAGGTATGCAAAACAAGAGCCCCACCAATATCTGAGGATTAACCCCATCTGTCTGTATGTGTCCACAGTGAAGGTCTGGAGTGCTCTGGTGCACGCTTGAGTGGCTATATTAACACCCCTGGATCTGGTATCTTTCCAGTGCCAACCACCTTGAAGAAGGAGATAGGCCCCAACAATGAAGATTTCTTGACAGTTCTTTCTAGGGAATTGCTCTGCAAGTTAAATGTACCTGGCTGAAATTTTGTGACAATTTGTGACTGCCTAAATAACAACACCTGAATGATACCTGGAGTTAAGAAAATTTCCTCTTGTAAAAATTATATGGGATGAAAAACATATATATTTTTATTATGTTTATGTATAAACATCTCTCTTCTTGCACCTTCCAGATTTTCTGACAAAATCCACACATGATGATTTAAGCATCCTGATGTGCAGTGGCGCTACATGAGATGCTGACTGAGCAGCTGTTACTCCACAGTAGCATTGCCAAATGGCTTTTTGGTGATGCTGACTGCACAGGAGCTCATTACTACTGTGCAGTAGTGTCATGCCATGCAATGCTTCATGCCATGCAATGCTACTGTGCAGTAGTAACAAGCTACTGTGTATTCAGCATCTCATGTAGATGTGGACAGTTATTCCAAATAAAAGTGAGTGGGTAAAAATAGGACTTAAAATGAAAGTCTGGTTTCATTCTGAATTATATGATTTTGCTTAATGCCTTCAAGGGTATGAAACACATAGTACCTTGTGCTTTTTATTCAATTTTTTTGTGCGATTGTCTTTTTTTCTCTCATCTTCATATACCAACACAAAGTCAATTCTTCGCTGGCCATCATTGAAGAATAAAGAGTCAGGTTTACGATCAAACTCCACCTGAAAGACAGGTAGAACATTTTTATGATGAAGCATTTTACCAGTCAATTTCCATACCTGTAGAATACATATAGATGTTGAAGAGTAGAAATACTCAATACCTGTTACACACTTATAACATGTCATTAAAGTAGCAACAAACTAAAGATCCAAATATGTATGCTGGAAAGTCTGGCAGGTCTCTGCATGACATGAGGATAACAGAACTTCCACTTAATTTTGTCTTTCAAAAATCGTAAATTAGCTTTTGGAGATCTAGCAATAGGAGGGATATTAGGTTGCAATACCATTACCAAATAAGGCATCTGCCAAGTAATTTATGTACCATCATGGCTATGCTGCTATGGAGTCTTGATATAAAATATTCTGGCTCCTACAGGGATTTTTAGAGTAAGTGCCTTCCCATCTGTCCCATTACCTGCCAGAAATCTGGACAGCTCAATAACTTAAAAAACTTGTAACAACTTCACATACATGAACATCCAAAAGCACCAGTGCCTCAGAATGAAGAACATGACCACAGTGCAAACTCCCATTCACAAAATGTAACACATCCCGTGTGGATACACTTCTCATTTTTATTAGCAAAATCTCAGCCAGAAAAGAACACTGTTATATACCACACATCCATCATGCTATAATGTATACCATAATCAAATGGATTAATACATCTATAAACTATCACCCAGTCCCTGGAGGAAAGCAGGATGGATTATCATTTTCACTTATAACATCTTAATGTATTATTTTGTACGTGTGACATATTAGGGGCATTGATAATGGGACTGATGGGGGAATTTGAGTGCCAGAGTTATGATTTCACAGTCTGTGGGAGTACTGAATGGGCATGGCCACATATTGTAATGCTCATCACCACATTTTTCTCATTAAAAATTAGAGTTTAATATCATCAGAATTCTTGCACTATCTGAAGGAGAGATGACACAAGTATGCCACAGGCTAAACTGGAAAGTATTCGTGATTTTGGGCCAGATCCTCAGTTGGTGTTTGTGGATGTAGCTCCATTGAAGGCATTTAACATTAAATACAGCTGAGGAATCCCACACATCATTATATCAAAGAAGATATGCTTCCAGAAAACAGCAGAATTGTCATATACAAGAACCTTCCCACATCTTTCCTTGACTGATACCCATTATACAGTTGCATGAGTTAAGATTTTATTCTTCCTCCTTGTGCAAAATGAATAACCAGCCAAAAGCAAGGGATTATACCTGTATAGTCAATACAGAACATCAGGACCAGGGTCCCCAGGGCAGACAGCGAGTCTAGGGATTTGGACTTCCTTGGACAGACTTCTGGGCTCCTGGGACAGACAGACTTCTGGGACTTCCTAGGACTTTCTGGGACTTCCTGGGACAGAGAGCTGCTGGGCGGGGCCACTGCTGCTGTTGTTGCAATTGCCTCGGAGGGACCGGCTTGGCTTCCCCGGTGTCCCGCTCACTCCAGGCAGCAGATAGGGAAGGGGAAGAGATGGGGATGGGAGGGACCTGCACTCGCACACTACTGGGCAAAGCCCTGCGCTGGAGCCAGCCGCCTTCCCCATTCCCTGCTGCACAAGTCTCGAGACTCCATGGGGAAGCAGGGGGCAGGGCTCTTTCCATTCCCAGTGGAGTCCCAGGACCTGTGCAGCAGGGGGTGGAGAAGGCAGCTAGCACCAACGCAGAGCTTCCTCCAGTGCCACCACACAGAGCCCCTGCAATAGCGGCAGGCCAGGCAGGCTGTGCTCCTTGCCCCCACATGCAGCGCTGGCCAGAGTAACGTGCCACCGGGCGCCAGCACCTGAATGGGGCACAAGCACTCCGAGCACCCCCACCTGCTGCTGCTGCTGGTAGCAGGGCCTGTGGGTTTTTGGGGTTTTTTTCTAGTTCCAAGATGGTAACCCTCCCCTCCCAAAAGGAGTATTTTGCAGGGGGGAGGGGGCAAGGGTGGCAAAGGTCAGGGGTTAGGGGGTGGGACTTCTGGTCCTAATACGGCAACCAGGGGCTGAGGCAACTGTCAAAGGACAGGGCTACCTATGCAGCCCTCAGAAGCTCACCAAAACTCGTTAAGTGGCCCTCCAGCCAAAATAATTGCCCACCCTGGTTTAGCTCCTGCTCTGTTCCTCTCTCTTCTGGTATCTGGGTTATAAAGACTCTATGTTCTTAGGCTGATTGAGTTTGACTCCTGATTATGGCTTATCTGCTGGTTCCTAAGTCTGGCTTGTCTCTTGGCTACAGACCCTTGACCCTGACTGTGGAGTCATACTGCCCATGCCTTTGAGTAGTCTGACCGTGGAGTCAGACTTCCAAGTTATCACACTGAAATTGCCATTCTTGCTAATGGTGGATGGAGCTGACAAGCATGCCAATTTCAGTGAACAGCTTTGGGATTCAAAAGAAATATGTTTTATTTGGAAACACCCTGTGCTAGTATTTGCAAACCATTTTTCAGACTTCTTGGTTTTTAAGATTTTTTAAAAGCATTTTTTTAAATGCAAATGTTCCCATAAACCAGAAAAATGACATTTCAGTCAACTTTACTCCAAAGCTTTTCCCTGTAGGAAAAAAAAAACCCCAACACCAAATCTTAGATGCATTGTTTCCTTTTATTCCAACCATTACATTGTCACAAAGTGCTTCCACTTTGATGGGAGCCATCAAGGTTTAATACTCTCTTTGGTCTGGGATATTTATGCTGTAGGTCTGCTAGAAAATGGTTGACTCCATAAATGCAGAGGCATTCAATGATTCAGCAATTGTGTAATTGATTGAATTCACAATCAGAATTCATTAATTGTATTGGACTGATCCCAAAATCCCAACATCCTGGGCCAAAAAGCTTTGAAAAAATTAATAGTTTAAACTTCCAGTTAGACAGCTTCTCCTAGACTACTGCAATGAGACTGACAATCTCTGTCAATCAGACGAATCAGCAGTTGTGAATCCTAGAATTATAAGAGTTGGAGCTGGTTGCCTCTGCAGGCTTTCTTTCTCTCAGTAGGAGTTTTACATACAAAATGTGAAGCTGCCAATGCCCTTTCTACTCTAGTTTTAAGTGTTTCGTGTGATTGGGGTTAGGTATAAAGTGACTAGAATCTAGTCTGGAGTCAAAGTATCAGCCTACTACCAAACAGATTTATTTTTTGCTTTACATGAATGTCTTTTTTCCACCAAAACAAAGTCTGATAATACTTTTAGAACTCCTCTCACTTTTCTTGGAATCAGTATAAACCTGGGAGTGATATTCAATTCAGGATTTGTATTTTTATCACACTGATTCTACCATGACAATTAAACTGTCATTTCCATTTAAAAAACCCCATGCAATATCCTTTCAGGAAAATGATGAAATTATTAAAATCAAGCCAACAAACAGATGCTCTAAATATTATAATTATACTAAAAACAATTTATACAATTCTTGTAATGAAAAGGCATAGAAACTGAATGCTAAATAGGTTAATCTCTAGATCATAAATTGCAGTAGACCCTCATGTTATCCAAGACTATAATTACAGAGGAAGATGTTGCAATCCCTTTGTGTAGATTGCCTAACACTTTCCAGTATAAATATTTTGCATTTTGGATGCTCTAGCTGCATTTCCATTGTTAGCAGAAGGTCTTTGGCATTCAGCCGGAAGAAAATCCTCGGGGTAAATAGAGAAGTGCCTTTTCTTCATCCCATGAAATTCCATTCATGTTCTGCTAACAAGACCCATTGAAAAATCTCCATTTTACTTTTTCCTGCCTTTGATAATCAGGAAAATATTACCTGTATGCCAAAGCAATGGGAGCTGCCCAAGAGCTGCTGTAGCAGGGGAGTCAAGGAAAGAGAAGAAACCAGATATGGCTTTTTCCATACTCTGGAGTACATTAACCTAGTAGTGTGTGTTTTTCTTCCGGTTAGCAGTCTTTTCTACGTGCTGGCTAATGGGGTTGTCTATAACTTAAGGTAAAAAAGAGACTGAAAAATAGTTCAAACCTCATAACAAATAATGGGGGGAAGTGTTCTGTAATATATTTTCTTTTTTTCTTTTTTAAAACAAAACTAGGGTATGAAAATCCTTGAAGCCTGTGCTAAAGGAAGTGCTTTAGGTTGTGAAAGTCAAGCAACTGAAAGTTAGAAAGACTTACGGATGCCCAGGCAACCTTGATTTGGCCACCAAAGAATTCTATTTGCATTTGTGCATCTAAGTGGCAGTTTTCTAGACATCAACGTGGCTGTTTTCAGCATCTTCTTTATGCTTTGGGCACACAGACCACATGTATATGTACCCAAAAATGTGCATGAGTTCCAGAAAAAATGATGGGAGGGGAGGGACTATCTGTGTTTAGCCCCAGTAGTTGTGTGGTTCAGAAGTGTGCCTGGGAAGCCAAAGACCTGAGGTTTAAGCCCATCTCACAGGGAGCTTAAGTCTGCATCTTTCAGCCCTCCTAGCACAGTACTTTAAATACTATGCCACAAGATAAGCATTAACCAGAGCCCTCTCAAGTGCTCCTTCTCAGTCCAAACCACTAAGATTAGTTATTAGATAAAATGGACAGAGAGCAGTGCAGCTTCTGCCCCACCTTTTTTCCAGACCAGCATCCATCTCAACCACATACACTTTGGTGAGCCCTAGTTCTCCTGACCCCATATGTCTCCCTCTTTTAACTACCAGGGACCAAGCTTGAAAAGGAGTGTAGGAGAAGCACTTGGTCCTGACCTATGTCAGAGACCTACAGGTTCAAATCTTCTGTGGGCAATAAAAGCCTAGAACCCAGATCTCTAGCTCACTGGGTGACTTCCCAATTCACTCAGCTATTGGAGTTAAAATGTAAAAGGGTGTAACAGAGCCTGTTATTTTAAGGAAGAAACTACAGCTGACAGAGCCCAGGTAGCCGAATGCAGACTAGCTACATGGGGGAAGGCTGCAAGGGAACACAGGGGCCTGGGCAGGCAGCTGACCATTAGACTAGGGGGTGCACTTACACCCTGGTCCGGAGAGCTCTGCCTAC